TAAATTATCAAGGGTTCATGGGGGGTTGGAATGGGACAGGAGGGGAAAATGAGGAGTTGACACCAAGGGATCAAGTTTTGAGAATGATAAGGGCAAAAAATGTACAAATGTGCTTGACAAAATGGATATATGTATGGATTGTGATGAGTTGTACGATCCCCCAATAAAATGATTAAAATAATAATAATAAAAAAAGAGAGCCGCTGTTCTAGAAGCTTGCACAAAAATTTGCGTAAGAAAGAAAATGAAATAGGGGAAGAGTATCAGCTTGTCAAATCCTCTCTATTTCTTTAGGGACCACAAAAGCCCACTGTTTGGGGGTGAGGACCCTATAAATCAGTTTAATCTAAGCTAGGCTCATCTAATAGCCTCCACAATCTTAGGGGCATTAACTGTACTGTGTTTCCATGAGCAAGTCACCTGGGGCAGAGGTCTGCTCTCAGGAACTGAGGCAGGAGGCTCCATCTATGGGTTTGTATAGTTGCAGCAGCAGGGTAAATGGAAAATGGCAAATTTTGTACTGGCTCTTAGAGCTGTTGCTTGGAAGTGATTCATGCCATTTCTGGTCTCATTGCTTTAGCTAAAATAAGTCAAATGATCACACCTAACTTCATGGGAGAAGGCACTCTGTCTATGTGTCCCTGAAGAGAACTGGAATGATTTGGTGAACAGCATTATGAACTACCACAGTGCTTTTCCAGGCCAAGTGTTTAATAACTACATAAGCATTGATCCTTCCATTAGAGTAAAAAAAGAAACAAATTCAAAGTGACTCACAAGCATGACTTAATAAATACTTTTAAGTTGACTGAAGAAATATTTTAAGATATGTCCCATTGTTCGCCACTTAAAGGACAATGGTAAAAACTCTTGGAAAATATTTTATAGTCATCATTTACCCTAAACTTCTCTAAGCTTTTTATTGTAGCTTATTTTAAGTGTGTAGAAATGAAGTAAAGGGAAGAAAGCACAAGGCTGTTTTTAAAGGAGTGCTATCTGTCAGGGACTAGCATTTACATTGAGTTGGAACTGACTCAATGGCAGTTGGGTATGTATGGCATATTCACATGTATTCTGAGTGTCATTAACAAAGTCACAACACATAGAGGATAATCAATGGCTCTGAATTATACATGTAGAAGTTGTTGAATTGGTGAATGTTTTGTTTATTTTTGTCAAAATGGAAAAAAATTACCTGAATAAGAATGAGTATGGGGAAAAGGAAAATATTCTAAAATTGATTGCGGTAAAGATTGTACAACTTGACGAGCCAGTCAGAGTGCAGGATAGCACTGATGGAGCATACAACTCTCCTCTAGTTCTTTAATGCTTCCTCCCCACCACTATCATGACCCCAATTCTACCTTACAAATCTGGCTAGACCAGGGCATGCACACGGGTACAGATAAGAACTGGAAACACAGGGAATACCAAACCCCTCAGGACCAATAATGATAGTAGCCATACCAGGAGGGGAAGAGGAAGGTGGGGGGAGAATGGGGGAACCGATCACAACAATCTGCATATAACCCCCTCCCAGGGGGACAGACAACAGAAAAGT